GATCTCAAACTGCTCCCCTTTGTTCTCGATGATCGGCATCAGGATATCGTAGATCTGAGAGGAAGTGTAGAGGAAAAAAGCTTGAATTTCTTCTAAATGCATTTTTTTTTCTTTTAGTTTCCCATGCTTCTTCTCAAGAGGCATTCCGTAAAGGATTATCCCAGGTGATCTTCGCATAGTCTGAGGCCAGCCAGATGCGTCATGATAGCCCTTACCTGCGAGAGGGCGGACTTCTGCATGTTGTAAGCGCTCAGACTCCAGATGGCATTCGTCCTCATGAAGATGTTGGTTTCGGTGACGCCAAGGATGATGGGCTTCAGTACGTTGATTGTCTGCGGAGTCCCCAGGTTGCTCAGCGCCTGAAGGTATATGAGCCGCTGCCAGACGTCCTTCTCCTGATTCTGAAAGATTGACGGCACCCATTACAGAACTGAAGAGGAAATGAGCTGTGGGCAGATAAAAGGTATGAAAGGAAGTGAAGGAGAGAAAATGAACTGTGGACAGAGAAAAGGTTTGGACGGCAGCCATTACAGAGCTTCTCCAAAGCCTTCCCTCCGGTGTCAAATATACGCGACTGGTAACGCATGAGCAGAGGAAAGGCGAATGGGCTGTGGACACACAAAAGGTTATGAAGGAAGTGAAGAAGAAGAAACGAGCTGTGAGTAGACAAAAAAAAAAAAAAAAAAAAAAAAAAAAAAAAAAAAAAAAAAAAAAAATGCTTACCCCAAGGTTTCGCACGAGGTACGGGATGAAGGTGTTGATGATGGGCTCGGGGTCGCACGTGCTCTTCGGGCCGCAGCTGTAGTCGAAGTAGAAGTGCTTCCTGTCCTCGCTGAGGCACGCGTCGTGGGCCAAAGTGGCGAAGTTCATGACGCCGATGGAATGGTCCACACCTTCCTCTCCGTCTATGAGACTGGTCTGTTGGTAGGAAGGGCAGGTTGTGATAAAAGACATTCTTACAATGATGGAGATGGCTATCCAGAATCTCTTATTTTGTGCTTATTAAGTCGAAATGGGTAATTAAGATCCAGCAGAAGAAGACATATTATATATGAAATTACAAATAGCTATGCTGAAGCAGCTAAAATAACATACATTGACCATTCACGATGCTTTTTTTCTTTCTTTTTTTTGTCACTGACAGATTACTGAAAAATGTATAATCAATGCTGATTCATTACAGAAGAAAACTTAGACATTTAACACATGTATTGTAAAAGAATGAGACAACACGCACAGGACCTTACCATGATCTTAAGAATCGGGGCCGGAGAGCGAAGATTGACACCAATGCTGTCGTAGATAGTCTTGTAGAAGGGAATATTATTGAGGTGACCGAGTGCAAAAGTGACTGAGGGTTCTGTACCGGCGTCGATCACCAACTGCGCAAAGATGTATCTAAAATAAGAGAAAGAACAGTCAAAAAAGTTAATTATTTTCATTATTGCAGACTATGTAAATTGATTTACATGCACACACACACACACACACACATGCTAGAACTACTAATACAAGAGTTTTTTAGATCCAAGTTATATCAAATAGATAACACTTATCGTACAACGCATCTGTAGAATATTTAAGATCTTACTTCTGCAAATTGCCTTTGCCTTCGAAGTGGCTGTAAAGGGTCTGAATGTGTGGATAGTCGAGGTTGGCGACGGCTTCGACGAGACGGCCAAAGATGTAAGCAAGGTTCTCTGGCTTGGCTGGGTAATGCTCCATACGGTGCGAAAGGTCGTCGATGCTTTTCTTGATGTAATCCTGAAAGACGCATTTTTTTCAGAATTCATCTTCTTACATGTGCAAGTATTTATCAAGATGTTCTATTTCAACGTATGAAATTGAACCTACCATAATGCCATTGATAATTTGGTCGGTGATCGGCCTGCCTGTGAGGACTTGTTCCAGTGGAATGAATTGGTCGCCCTGTTGAAATGGGTAATGTTAGCATGATGTAGAACCTTAAGACTGAATTAGGTATATTACAATAAGATTTATAAGAATGTACTTATTGTCCACCCATTTATGATAACTGAACGAACCTGTGGCCTTTCGATATTGTAGTGCCAATTGTAGTGATTATGGACTTCATATGTAATAGTGATGGGCTCGCCAACCTCACGCACAGCCTTCAGCTCCAGGGTCTGACGAAGGGAAAAAAAATCTGTTAGACTGAAACTTCACTGACAGTATAAGGTCGTATCATATCCTCAATCTCATATCTGCCCGTATCTGTAGCGACGACCCAACAACAAACCTGGTTGGTGAAGGTGTCCACATGCTCATTTCTCTCTTTGTTCGTCAAGACGCTGATGGTTCCCTCCACCACGGCTTGCTCGATCCTTCGGTGCGTGTCTCCGCGGATGAGGTAACTTGCCACGGAGCTCCTCTGAATGATCTCCTCCGTGTACTTGCTGCTGTGGATCTGGGGACAGAGGGAGAGGTGGATATGCAGGCTAAGCAATGATAATGATAAACAGACAGACAGAGAGAAGCA